TTCTCGATCCTAACAATCTCTGATATGTTCCCATTCTCTTTCTTGTTCCTCGAAGCGCAAAAGACCTCCAAGAGTCTTGGCGGCTAGAGGCACACCACCACTTCTTTTCACAATCTCCTTTCCGATAGCCACAAGGTTAGGATTTATTTTTTCTTGGTTCTCAAATGCACGTTTCATGAACAACAACCAACAATCTTCTTGAGACAGATTTGACAATTCATATGGTTGCAAAGTTCCCATAATTGATCCAACCCTTTTAAGACGAGTGGTGGCTAGAACAGAAGCACCTCGTGCTCCAACCTTTAAGACTGCTTTTATCTTGTCCCACTTTTCTTGATTTTCATTCCAAACATCATCCAAAACGAGAAAGTATCTCTTTCCATTCAACATATCCTGAAGCTTCTTTTGAAGTGGAGCCAAATCCATGCCGTCACCTAGTGGTTTTCCTTCCATAGATTCTACAATTGCCTTTATCAACTTCTTCTCATCAAAATCTTCTGAGACACAAATCCATATTTTGGGATCGAAATGCTCAATCACTCTTTTATCATTGAAGACCATTTGGGCAAGAGTCGTCTTTCCTAGCCCCCCCATACCAAGTATTGGGAGGACTGAAAGCTCTTGGACATCACAAACTTTGTTTGTAAGGATTTTTACTATCTTATTCTTCTCTTTGTCCCTTCCATAAGGTTCTGGTTCAGTTAAAACAAAACCTGTTGCAAGCGATATATGTTCACACGAGAATATTGTTCAGCGAAAAAACAGAGAAGATTTTTGCACTATAAAGAGACAAGGATAAGCAGACATGAGATTGACTTTGCAAAAATGACAACCAAGTTAAGTATAGTTCAAAACAACTCAGGCTTTTTTTGTATTTTTCGTATGAGTAAGCTATGGATTTATCTGAGCTGGCTTACACCATGTATATATGTTAAGAACTTCACCAAATAAATAAATTAGATGGAAGTGGTAGAATTACAAATCTGAATGTGGATCCACCTCTGTTTAGACTTGAGACAAACATTAGATTAGAAAAAAATCTTTGGAACTTCCCCTCGGTCCATAAACACACATGAATTTGATAATTGCCAAAAAATGAATATACTTTAATTAAATTGTTGTAATACTAATTCTATCTAAAATATTATAATAGTGTGATAAGTTGCACAAAAATTGAAGAGAAATATACAAGCTCAAACCAATAACTTCAATTATGCAATTCCTACAATATATCAGGTATTCAATTTGATAAAAGTTTCTTCTGTTTAATATGGCATAACTCATAATTTAATTGTCAAATGTGATTTCAAAATATTTCTTGACTTAGGTTTTTCATCTTCTTTTTAAGAAACTGTAGTCTCCACCTTTTCACATTTGCATATGTATTAAGAAGTTGTTGTCGAATGAGAGTAGTGTTTTGCAAAAGTTATATAGAAATTAGATCAATTTGTGTCTTCCTTAAGATGGCTAGTAGATGATCATTGTGCGATAACTTGCATAGTAATTGAAGAGAAAATATACAAGCTTAAACAAATTAATGGTGAGTCTATTCAATCAAGATTATTATCAGTAGAAGGTACATCATGCTGAAATATTGCTATCAAATGAATTTCAAAAGTAATATTCGATTATGTATTTTTTAATATATCAAGTACTCAACTTGATAAAAGTTTTTTAATGTGTCACAACACATAATTTAAGTGTCGCTTATTGGTTCAAAATATTTCGTGTTCTAAAATTTTTGCCTTCTTTCTAAGAAATTGTAGCCTCCACCTTATTACAATCATATATAGGTCAAGAAGTTGTTACCAAACGTGAATTGTGTTTTGTAAAAATTGTACATAAATTCGATCAACACATACCTTTCTTATGATAGCTAGTGGATCATTGTCAATTTTTTGGTGTACACCTACAAAAAAATATAGTTATTATTAGTGATAAAAATAATAATTGCTCAGATATCTAATCGATGTATATAAAACATAATTATTATAGGTAAGTGTACTCCTTGCCTAATTCAAAATTATTAGTTCTATCATCTATGAATTTAACAATAAAATATTAGTTAAATTATGTAAAATGATTCATAACCAAAATTTACACAAACAAGAATATACAATTTCATGATACTCCAAGAAGTTATAATTAAAAAGATAGTAACCTTACCTGATTTGGTATTTCCATGACAAATTTCTATGTTGCAAGAGGTAAAATAACTATGATACAAATGTTTGTGTACCCAAGTAAGATGAACTTTCAACTAATTAAAAAACATATATGAATAAGTCGAATTAAAGACAATAACTTATAATGTGAATAGAAAAAATAGAGTACATAAGTAGAAAAGAGAGACACAAACACAAAATGAATATGAAAAAATGTCGCCTACACAAAGTAGAATTGATAATCTAATAATTTGATGAATTGGAATAGTTATCTTGTGATTTTCACTATGTATACACAATATATAGCATTTAGTAAATGAATATATTGTATTGAATTGATCAAAAGAATTTACTCTCCACATTGAATATACCAAGTAACTTTTCCAATTCTCCATATGTTTATTACTACAAAGAGATGTTTTACTTTTTGCATTCGGAAATAGAAGATAAAGCATTTACAGAAATTGAATACACATAACTCTATGTCTTTTAATTTATCTAGGTCATTCATTTTCTATATTATTATTTATTTATATTTATTAGAAGATAGACTTACTTTTTAGAAAGAAAAAAAACATAAATTGGAGTTAAATAAATGGCAAAATATTAATGGGTATTTTCGTGTATATATATTCAATAGCCAAATGCATTGAACTAAATATATATTTATATTCTTGTACAATATTATTGTAGGAATAATATTTGATTGGAGGATATTGATGTCATTCAATATTTTATGGACATTTTGATGATTCAATTTTAAAAATATTTTGGTTCTACTTATATATATACTTACTAATTTAATAGAAGTTTTATTTCTCTTTTTTTATGTGAAGGAAAAATAAAAAATTAATTTATGATTATTATTTAATATTTAATTAATAAAATATTTTATAACTTTTTTATTTAGTATATGAGTAAAATAGTAATTTAATTTTAAATTTTTGAGCTTTCTACTTTTAATAAAAAAAAATTTATTATTTATTTATGATCATAACATGATAAGTTAGGAAAATGAATAGGTGTAGTTATGAAGTTGATTTTAAATGAAAAAATAATTTTTTAAAATAATTTTAAGAAAATAAATTAATAGGTAAGGGGTATTTTCGTAATTCAACTTTTGACTTAGATTGATTAATATATGATAATCATATCATGTCATATAAGTTTACTTTATTTTCAATATATCATGTCATATATATAGTGATCTTACTTATTAAAGTTCTAAGTTCACCTTTTTTGTATGAATGTCGTATCAGACTAAGCCTAAATTTAACCAAGTTCAGACAGTTTCTTGATTGATGCTTAGGAAGAAAAAAGAACAAGAAGAAAAATGATATCTACATAATAAAGAAATATTACATGTAAAGTAGAATAAGCACAAATCGAATTTTATGGTAATTCGAATGTTACTGGCTCAAAAATTGAGTTTGGATCTTGTTGAGACTTACGCGGACATTATTCATGGTAATTCGGTCTTGGGGCAAGTCAGTAGTACATTCAAGAGCTACTTCCAATACCGATCTCAAACAACTTTCAATAGCTATCAAATGTTCATTATCATCTGTTGAAAATAAATTAGCATCCACAATGTCCGTGACTCTATATATGAGGATATGACTCCGCGACCCATCTCTTCAATGTAAGGTCTCCAACAAATTCATCATCTACTGGTTTCTTTCTTGTGAAGGTTTCCATCAATAAAATGCCGTAGCAGTAAACATCCCCCATTGTTGATACTATCCCTTCTGACCCGTACTTTGCCATCAAAATGAAATACATCATCAGATATGCATATAGAATACAAGTTAAAGAAAGTAATTAGTAAATAGAAAATTGATCAGTACCTGGTGCCATGTAGCCAATGGTGCCTAAGGTTTTTGTCAATGCTACTGGATCATACGCCGTCAAGAGTTTGGATATACCAAAATCACTTACTCTGGCAACCATATCGCCATCCAAATGTATGTTACTTGGTTTCAAGTCGCAATGGACCACAACAAGTGCATGACCTTGTGTGAGTAAAGCCAATAATCAAGATCTCCATTAGGCATGTATTCTAACACCAATGCCTTGAAATCAAGATTTGAACAACAACTTATCACCTTAACAAGATTCCTATGTCGAACGTTACGTAAAACCTTACACTCCAAATCAAACCTCTTGAATGCATCTTGCACTTGTGCATTGAAAACCTTTACAGCAACTATAGTCCCATTTGTAAATGTCCCCTTATAAACCATACCAAGGCTTCCCTTTCCAATCAAATTTGATTCGTCAAAGTTGTTAGTCCCTCTAACAATTTCATAGTAAGGAAACCTTTTGTGTGATAACTGATCATACCAATCAGTTAAAGGAATAAGTTGGTTGTTTCGTTTCCGATAATTCAACAACCATATCATGCCTAAAACCCCTCTGACTAAACCTCCATCTGCAACTGGTCCAAGAACAAATTTTAGTACTGTTTTCTTCCTGTTTCTTCTTGTTACATTGTTCTGGACTTCACACACCTTGACTTGGAATCTAGGCGGTCCACATAACTCTTCATTGCCGATGAACGATTCAGCTGTGAAATTACCAAAAGGCCCTCCATCTGGTATTTCACCTGATAACTCATTGTAAGAGACATTCAGATAGTTGAGATGCTCAAGCTTTGTTAACGACTCTGGAATTTGATCCGTCAAATTGTTTTGTGACAGATCCAAGTACTCCAAGCTGACCATTTTTTCGAATGACTTAGGTATAGTACCGTCTAACCTATTCATATCTAATGCAAGAAATACCAATTTCTGAAGCTGTAATATGGTGCTTGGAATTGGACCAAACAACTCATTTCTTGATAGATATAACTCACTTAAACCTCCCATGTTTCCAATCTCCGATGCCAAAGGACCAATTAACTGATTAAATGACAAACTCACAACTGAGATATCCTTATTACTCCAAAAATTTAAAGGAATACTTGAACTTAAATTATTTGAATCAAAATAAATATATCTTAATGAAGAAATATTTCCCAAACACCCTAATACTTGCCCTGTAATCTGATTTCTTCGCAAGTCAAAATAGTATAATTCTTTCATTTCGCATAACCTTTCAGGTATGATCCCATCTAATTTGTTCTCATACAATCTCAAAGTTTGCAACTTTTTCAAGTTTCCTAATTCTTGAGGAATCGAACCAATAAACTCATTCGCGCCCAGTGTTAACCACGACAGGTTTGTCCAGTTACCAATTTCAACTGGGATTTCCCCCCTGATTCCACAGTAAAAGGCGATGACCTCTCAAGAGACAACGACATATTAGTTAAGGATGATTTCGGAAGAATGCCATTAAATTGGTTGTTTCCAATCATTAAAAATTTCAAGTACTTGCAATGTGAGAAGGAATTTAGAAAACTTATTTCGCCCGTGGAAGAAGGAGCATTTGTAAGCATATTCCTCTGAAAGTTGATGCTTTGAATCTGCTGGAGATTTATTCCTAGATCAATTGGTACGTTTCCGCTAAACATGTTCCTTCCAAGATCAAGAAATTTGAGCTTAGTGGCATTTGAGATAGAGCTAGGAAGTGTACCACTAAAATTATTAATCCCAAGATAAAGTCCTTCAAGATTTGGAAGACTATAGCCTAAGTTTGAAGGAAGTTTACCGGACAGAGTATTCGCAGCAACTGCTATTACTTTTAGTGAAGAAATGTTGAAAATTCTAACAGGAACTTCACCTGATAGCGCATTCGATCCAAGATATAGTCCTTCAAGACTAGAGAGATGTCCTAGTTGTGGAGGAATGTTACCATGAATTTTATTTTCACCAATGTCTATCATTACTAAAGTTGTTAAGTTCCCAAGAGATGGTGGTAGTGTTCCAACTAACTCGTTTCTTCAAAGACTCAATTTCCGAATAGATGGTAGGTTGATTTCATTTGGTATATCTCCTGCAAATTCATTTTGAAAATAAGTATATGGTTATCATGCTAAAGATCAGACATAGGGTATCTTTGGTACGGACGAAAATGTTCTCCACAAAATATATTAATCTTTGTTTGTTACTAGACAATGCACACATTGACCATATCTAATGAAATTAGGTACTTCGTTAAGAGTATTCAAGATTTAATACATACAGAATCACGTACCTATAAAGTTATTCCATCCAATAAACAGTTCTTGAACCTTTGACATGTTCCACATGTCTCTAGGTAAATTTCCTATCAAATATAACATCACACACACACACACACAAAAAGGATGATTAATTCAAGAAGAAACAAGTAAAATTAGTAAATGAAAAGTTTACAAGTTAGTTAATTACCTGTGAATTTGTTATAAGACAAGGACAGAACTTCAAGTTTGGTGCATATATTTAAACCACTAGGTAGTTCACCTACAAATTGATTATCTTGCAGGGATATATATTCCAACACTGGAAGATTAGTGCATATCTCATTTGGCAAACTCCCAGTTAACTCGTAATTCCGAGACAAATCAATGTCCTTTAAAGAAGACACACTGAAAATGGACAATGGAACATTTCCAAATAGACGATTTTCAGAAAGATGAAGAAATTGAAGCCTTGTGAGAAATCCAAGGCTTTGTGGGATTTGACCAGTGAGATTATTCATTTGCAAATACAAGTATTTTAAACGCCTCAGACGCCCTATTTCATCGGGGATTTGTCCATGGAAACTGTTGTTTCCAATGTCTAAAAAGTTAAGGAAGGAGAGATTCCCAATATCTGTCGCAATTGAATCTCTAAATCCAAAGCTTTTGAGGACTAATGATGTCACTCTTTGATGCTTTTTACTGCAAGATATGCCTATCCAATTGCAAATGTGAGTTCTTTTTGTCCAGTTTTTTGACAACATTCCATTGGGGTCTGAAGTTATATGAGCTTTGAAAGCTAAAAGAGAAGCCTCATCAGTTGTAATGTTCGATGCATTAGTAACTGAGAGGTACGTTAACAAAACTAGGAATGCTATTATCATAGTCCTCGCAACCATTTTGATTTGTTCAACTTCTTTTAACAGCTATTTGTGCCTAAGTTTTCGTTTTCAAACACCATCTATATATACTGTGTGTATACTTCTAATTGCTTCAACACTTATCTAATTAATACCAATGATTAACATATATACGTAATATGTTTGGAACATTTTTTTTTTGTAAATTGCTAACTGAACTTGACTGCAATTCATTGCTAAAGGGAAACCATTGGTTGTGGAATTCTGTAGAGATAGTTAAATAATTTACTTGACATTTTTTATGTAGTTTTAGGCTATAGTATAATGTCGTCATTCGAATGTATATATATAACCTCCCCAGAATAGATGCTTGACAAAAGAATGTCAACTGTTACGGTCAAATTAGCGAATCTAACATGTAATGTATTCAATAGCTTTTATTCAAATCTTTTATATATATGTGCATGTTAAGGAATTCAATCAATAATTATCAACGGATCTAAATGGTGATTCTATTGATGGGATTTGGTAGATTGATATTCCAATCTTTCTTCTTAGAACATATTGATTTGACCCCATAAGCGGGGTCGCGAGTGAGGAAGAAGAAATGAATGAAAAGTGCATAATATATAAATATGATCTTAACTTGGATTCGGCGGACAACTATGCCCTCCAACTTTAAGTGTGCACAAGTAGACACTTAAACTTGTATAAAATTGAATAAGTAGACACACTTGTCCTACATGACATAATACACATAGGACGACACGTAAGACACAAAATTGTCATGTAGGGTGCCAGGTAGTGCCGGCAAAATGAGCCCATATTTTGGTAACCCACCCATATTTTAATGGGTTGGGTGAGTGATTTTTTACATGGGTAAAATATGGGTTGATATCCATATTGAACCCATAAAAATATGGCTAAAGTATGGATTAGTCAAATGGGTTAAGCTTCTAACTTTTGTTCACTATAAATTCATGATATCACTAAAAATATTGTAATTTCTCTTGCTTTTCATGTTCTTTTATAGAACTAATTATTTTTCACTATAATTGAAAATGTGAAGTCTTTTAGCCCTCAAAAAATATATATTTTAAATGTACATTTCTTTTGTTACTTATAATTATATTTTTTTATTTGTTTAATTTTATATTGGACAATAAATACATAGTGTAAAATAAGCAAATCATGTATTAGTATTGACATTGCTTAAAGTGCATTAAGCATGTTTTCGTCCTAAAATGTAAATATTCATTTACTTTGAAATTCAAAATATTTTCCCCATGTTATTACATAATTTTATTTTATATTGAAAAGTTATAGGTTTTTTTTTTGTACTTTTATGATACAATAAAACTAAATGAAGCATTTTCAACATTTTTCATCTAAAAGAAGACTAAAATATTTTTTCTCCATGTTGAATTCTTAAGTAGAGTACTATTTACTCATGTAAATATGGGTAAACTAGTATTTTACCCAACCCATTTCTTACCCAATTCAATTTTACCCATATCAAATATGGGTGGGTTGAATTATTACCCATTTTATGTTGACCCATTTTGAACTCGCCCATTTGCCACCACTAGTTACAGGTAGGACGAATGTGTTTATTTGTTCAATTTTTTACAAGTTTAAGTATTTATTTGTGCACACCCAAAGTTAAAGGTCATAGTTGTCGGTTGAAGTCAAGTTAAGGGTTATGTTTATGTATTATGCGAATGAGAAATGTTGAATATGATAACTTTTTTGGTTAAAAATAAAATATGCATATTCTAAAATAAAATGGCCATGATGTATCACAGTATGTGATCACCTAATATAAAGATAAATTTTAAAGGTGCATTTGATCTAACTTTTAGTTTGTATGTGTAAGCCTTTAACCTTATTAGTTTTTTTTTTAATTAACCTTATTAGTTGATTATTTATATGTTAAACATCGATTAACTAGTAGACTTAACTAAAATAAATCATTTTGAAGTGGTCGTTTTTTCTCTAGTTTGGTGCATGTCACAAAAAATGTGATATAATAAAGATGGACGTTTATTAATTCAACATTAAATATTTTTAACAATGATTATATTTGACTAAAACTACAAGTTGCATAGAAGGAGGAATTTAGAAAATGATACCGTCGGATTCTCAAGTCTCAAAAACGACAAATCAACGATCAAAGTTGCTTAAGATTCCAGTAATCACGAAAAATCAAATCAAATCGAAGAAAAAGACCGGTACCTTTTAGTTTGGCTTGATTATAATTTTTGTTTTTGAGATTTTTTTTTAGCAATTTTTCTGAATAGATAATATCAGAATCATAACTTAATTTGTATTTCTCTTTTTTATTGTATCATTTATTAATTATTTAAAAATATATTTAATATCTTTTAATAGCCGCGTGAAGTACGGACAATACACTAGTTAGATATATATCAGCAAAGATGTGAGGTAGTTGGTGATACTTCAATAAGGAAAGTTGCACACCTAATAATTTAAATATGAAACGTTTCCATTTCTTTTATTAATAAAAGATTTAACATTTGATAAAAAAAAAAAAAGATTTAACTTGGTAATTGGTATGCATATTCATGGAAACTGCTAGCCAGTTTCACATCTGTCTTTTCTTGTGCGGTTGGTTTGTCTTCATCTCTGTTAGAGGAGAGCTTAAAAACTATTACTCCCTCTGTCTCAATTTATGTGACTTACTTTCTTTTTTAGTCAGTCCCAAAAAAATGACACATTTCTATATTAAGTAACAATTTAACTATAAAATGTCTATTTCAGCACAGGGAATTGCTCATCTCCTTCCTTTTACAGCAATCCTTTCAGATTACCAAATCTCTCCATACAAAGTTTTCTCAGGGATGGAAACCTTATTCCTGTGGGGAATCCAGAATCAACATACTCCACTTATGAAGACCCACTCCGTAACTCTAGACTTTTTAGACTAGGCAGCTCTCCAAAGGGTGGTAAGCATGAGCAGTTTTTTGCAACGGAAGATTACAATAGAGACAACATTTTTTCAAAACAGAGTGATTCATCCAGTCTGGGAAACGGATTCCTCTGAAGTCACTGATTGTTAAACAAGTCAGATTGGAGTGTGGTTTGAGGGCTTCAAGCACTTCAACTTCTTCTGATTCATATCTATGTGGACGTTCATCGTCATCCCATTTCATGCTTAAAGAATGCAGATTTTCTTTTGCAGATAAATTGGCTTCTTTTGCATCCATATCATTCTTCACTCTCTCAAGATGCGTGATTTCAATTGAGCCATAGAGATTCAGGTTTCGTAATTCACCAAGTTGACAACTTTTCTTCCTTCCCACTGCAAAGCAACCAAGAGTCTTAAGGCATGTCAAAGATCCTATCCTTGGTGGCATACAAGTCAATCCATAGCAACTATCAAGTAAAAGATTTCGGAGACTACCAAGTTTACTTTTTTCTTTTGGCAAACAAGAAAGTGACCAGCAGTCATGTAGATCAAGAGTCTGCAGATTTTGAAGCTTGCATAACTGCTTTGGAAGACTACTAATTCTATCATTGCTAGACAGGTTCAAGTATCTTAAATGTACTAGATCTCCAATGGAAGACGGTAACTGCTTCGGCCCTATGTAAGTTAGGTTAAGCACCCTCAACGAGACAAACTTTTGCAAGTGAGAACGAGAGTAAGAAGACACCACTTTTGTGAAACCAATCGACATCATATGTGGGTAACCTTTTACACTTATTTCACGGATATTGTTGCTTGATGCGCTTGCCGTAAACAGAGATGTAGCCAGATCATGGATGAGATCATGCATCTTGAAATAAGTTTTACCAGATTTAACTTCAATCTCTTGGAAGAAAGACCTCAAGTATAATTCATTCCATACTTCATTACCTACAACCTCTAGCTCCAAGTTTCCTTTCGATAAAAGAAAACCATGTGCCATCCAGAGAGAGATTAGATTTTCCTTTTCCATTTCGGTATCCTTTGGGAGTACTGCACAATATGCAAAGCATTGTCTCAAATCAAGTGGAAGGTGATGGTAACTAAGTCTCAGGGCAGGCAGAATAGAACTTTCTTCTTGAGGCAATTTCCAAATCTCACTATCTCTGACATGTTCCCACTGTCTTTCTTCTCTCTTGAAGCACAAAATACCTCCAAGAGTTTTAGCTGCTAGAGGCACACCACCACATTTTTTCACAATCTCCTTTCCGATAGCCACAAGATTAAGATTTATTTCTTCTTGGTGCCCAAATGCACGTTGCATGAACAACAACCAACAATCTTCTTGAGACAAATTTGACAATTCATATGGTTGCAATGTTCCCATAATTGATCCAACCTTTTCAAGACGAGTAGTGGTAAGAACAGAAGCACCACTTGCTCCAACCTTCAAGACTTGTCTTAACTTAGCCCACTTATCTTGATCTTCATTCCAAACATCGTCTAAGACGAGCAAATATTTTTTCCATTCAGCAAGTCCTGAAGCTTCTTTTGAAGTGGAGCCAAGTCCATGTCACCAAGTAGTGGCCTTCCTTCAATAGATTCTACAATTTCCTTTATTAACCTCTTCTCATCAAAATCATCCGAGACACAAACCCATATTTTGGGATGGAAATGTTCGGTTACTCTCTGATCATTGAAGACCATTTGGGCAAGAGTCGTCTTTCCTAGTCCCCCCATACCAAGTATTGGGAGGACTGAAAGTGTTCGGGCATCGCTAACATTGTTTATCAGGATTTTCACTATGTCATCCTTTTCTTTGTCTCTTCCATAAACTTGTGGTTCATTTAAAACAAAACCTGGTCCAAGAAGAACTATCATTGTTAATTTATAAGATCTAAAACAACTCTGGCTTTGTCCTGTCATTTAGACTTGGGGGCCTATCCTAATCCTATGAGTAAGCTATGGATTTATCTGAGATTATATGTTAAAAACTTCACTAAACAGATTTAGATAATAGATTTGGAACCCAATTAATAAATCATATTTAGGCTTGAGACGAACATTTAGATTAGAAAAAATCCCAAAAACACACATGAATTCGATGATATAAAGTTGTTTTTTAGAAAAATATTTAAAGATGAGCACTTGTTTGGCGGGTAGCAACTTGTCTCTCTATAGTCCTTTCTGTTGCGAAAGCCGAATATATAGAGAGTAATGAAATCACAACTGCTATATCTAAAGGTAGCTAATAAATAGTAGATGAGACAACAATAAAAAGAACACCAGGAATTAACGAGGTTCGGCAAACTTTTGTTTTCTTTTGCCTACTCCTCGGACACAACAACCAATATTTATTTCACTCCAAAAGAGTACAAGTGAAATACTACAAGAGAGAAAGAAGATCAAATGCCTTTGAAGATGAGAAGGCAAGTGAGAGGTGTGTTACAAATGAATTAGGAACTACCTATTTATAGGAGTGAATTCTTCCTATTGATGTCATCCATGACATCACAATGTGTCAAAATGTCAAGATTTACCTTGTGAAACCATTTTATGGTTCACCTAAATTTCACCTACAAAAGATGTTATCTTGACTTTTGTACCAATGAAGAATTATCTTCCTAACTACCAAATCTTCACATTAATTCATCTTTGAATCTTGTCAAATTTAACAAATCTCCACCTTGGCAAGATTCTCCATTTTCAACTTTCTCTCAACAACTTTTGATTGTGTTTTCAACCTTAATCCTCAATGTTCAACAATTTTGATCAAGTTCAAACAATGTTGAAACTTGACCGCAGTCACCACTTTTGTCAGCATATCGGCAGGATTATCCGTAGTATGAATTTTCTGCACTATGACTCCACCTTCTTCTATGATGTCTCGTATGAAATGATATCGGCCATGAATGTGCTTCATCCTTGCATGATAAACTTGGTTCTTTGCTAATTGAATAGCACTTTGACTATCACAAAATATTGTGATTCCTTCTTGTCCAATACCAAGCTCTCTAAGCAATCCTAGAAGCCAAATTGCCTCCTTCGCAGCCTCTGTAATTGCCATATACTCTGCCTCAGTGGTAGACAAAGCAACTGTTGACTGCAAAGTAGACTTCCAACTAACCGGTGAGTTTGCAATAGTGAAAACATAACCAGTAGTTGATCTTCGTTTGTCCAAATCACCTGCATAATCTGAGTCACAATATCCAACAAGATATTGACTATCTTTATGCTCATAAACCAAGCCAATATCTACAGTATTATGAATATACTGTGTTGACACCCAATTTTGGACCTCCACAATATATATTAATCATCGAGCTTCTTAAATTCCAAACGATTTGAAATAATTAGCTTTATAAAAATTCAAAATGTTTTTCAAGTTATTTTAAATAGTTTTGTCACTTTTTATAATTTTTAAATAATTATGTATATAATTAGTATATTTTACGAATATTCAAAATTGTCTAAAAAAAAAAAGATTTTAGTTTTTCTTACAATTTTGTCAATTAGTTTAGCTAACTAATAGTTAATATTTTTGAATTAATTAGTTTATATGTTGAGTTATTTATTTTATTTCGTTAAAATTAAGAAGCTTGTTAATTAATTAATATTAATTCACCTTATTGACGTTTTAATTGAATTAACTAATTAAATTTGATCGGATTAATTTCTTAATTCCAAATGGCTAATTTATCCTATTAGCAACCTAACCCATCTTCACTTCAAATTTTCAGCCAACTTTGGCTCAAATCTTGACCCATTAACAAATCAATTCATCCCAGCCCACTTTCAATTGTTCACAAAAGCCCATCCCACCAGTTTCAACCCAAAAAAAAGGGGACCCACCAATAATTCAATACAATAATACAGTGATCCAAACACACAACAATGTCAAATAGATTACCACCGACCTCACCCCACAGTATCTTCTTCTCCATCGTGAAACCCACTAACGGAAAAATTCCAGAAAAATCGCAAAGCCCAGAATCGAACCCGGCAAAATCCAGCAGCCCTCAAAGCGTGACCCGAGTCCAGCAAGCCCTGTACGCGCCTCATCTCCTTCACGCGAGAGCGAATTCACGGAACCAACAACTCCTCCAGTCCTGCTCTGCAACAACCGCCCATTTTGATCTTTTCCATCCGGATTTTTTGGGGGATTTTTGGTTGAATTTCCATACAACAACAGCCTTTCCTTACCCTTGGGGGAAAATTTGAATTGATTTGATTGGGGAATTCCGATTTTGCCCCAAGTTCCTATCCGTTTTCTTCCCCCAAATCTGCCCTAATTTCCTGGCTATATATACTCTCTTATTATTTACTGTAAGGAAGAAGGGGAATGAAATGGAATTAGAGAAAAAAAATAGAGTGAACTATTAATTATACATAGTCATAGACAAATATTTAGGAAATAGATTTTGAAGTGATAGAGATTTGCAATAAGATTTCTACTCTCGTTTGATTCTTTTCCATTCATCGAAGTTTCTCGGAGTCATAGTTTAGTGGTGGTGGAATCCTTCCCGGAATCTCGTTTCCAATCGCTGCTCCAAAAAAAGTAAATGTCCTTTTAATTTTAATTTCTTGTTAGTCAATGTTGTGTTTGTTCTTGTTAGTTAATGTTATTAGTTACTGTTGTGATTGTTAGTTAATGTTATTAGTTACTATTGTGATTATACTTGTTAGTTAATGTTGTTAGTTATTGTTGTGTTTATACTTGTTAGTTAATATTGTTAGTTAATGTTGTGTCTGTGAATAAAATGGAATTTTGACATCTTATGAGTTCTCTATCGGTTTTATCCCTTCCAAATGCCCCTTTGTTTGTCTCACATGTCGTTCTTCTTGTTGATGTTGGATAATAGGAGTTCTTGGTCCTAGCTTGCTCATGTTCAATATGAATCTGTGTTATTGCTTAATATTTGACGTCTTATCCTTTATTCTTTCACCTTGAGTTGAATGAATGAATTAACATATAAACATTTCGAGTTCATGTGCTGCATTTACTACTCTCTTTTTTTGGGTGGTTCTTGTATTATGTTTGTCACTAGTCATTTTGATTCCTTTTATTTGGTTGCTCTGTTGAGTCTAATTCGGAGTGTAGGCTTTGTTTCCGTTTTCTCAGATGGCATTTGCTCCATTTTTGTTTTCCTTTCCCCATTCAAGTTTGCCGCATCTGTTTGCTTCACTATTTTCCAATATTCAATTTAGTCACTAGTGCCTTAATCCTTTAGATATGTTTTTTTTTTATCTCAATTAGTGCTAGTAAATATTTTGCTTTGAATATTAAGTCCTTCAACATTTGTTCTTACTTGTGCTTCTTATGAGTTTTTTTTTTTGAAATCAGGAAATATAGAATTTGTCATGTTATCTAAAAGATGTTTTATTTAAGTGCGTGAATAATTCCCTTCCGTTTCAATTCTCTATTTGATCAAGTATGAGATGTGCATTAATTTGTCAAGATGGAATTATTGGAAGGAGTATATGTATCACCTGATGAGCATTGATGATGCTTCTGATGCCTACATGTTCTCTGTCTATACTTGTAGTAATTTTTAAATGTTTTGGATGAGTTATATCACAATTATCTCTAGTTGAATGCATAATTATATATATATGAATTGTTCAAAATCCCTCACTAATTCCTTTTCCCTTTACTTTTAATACATGTGACACCAACTCAAGTCCCTCCTGGGCTTCATCTTTCTTCCCTTCGCATTTCGAGAGGGCCATAAAGGCCCAAGATTCGTTTGTTGAGTCGGCCTCATTTTGTTTGAGTTGCTGGAAAGTCAAATTACAGGTCCCGAAAATTCGAAAATGGGCCGTATACATATTGTATATAGCGGTATACACTCATTATATAGCAAATTACAGGTCAAAAAATGCGAAAATACAGAGATGTGGTAAAATACAGGTGCTCGGAAGCAGGAGATACACGGAAAGAGCCTATACACACGCTGATATACATTGATATACAAGTGTATACAAAAACGGGAATTGGGTTAACCCCAATAGTAGCAGCGAATTTGGCCCAAAAAGGGGCCCAAATTCAATTTTCTCCTTTACCTTTAAAGTATTTAATTGTCTTTTATTTCGTTTTTCTTATCATTAACTCTAACTTTATATTTTTTTAATTAACTTAATTAGATTCCCCAAAAGATGAGTTATTTTCTTTGTGTTGGTTTAATTTTAATACACTTCATGTTTCGTGTTCATTTATTTTATTAATTGAGTATATTGATCAAAATTTTATATCTTCAATTAAGTTAAACCTTTTGTACTTAAAATAGATGTTCTTTAATGTTTTTTTTTTTTGCTTAATCATATTTTACTCATGATAAATTTGTTTTAAGTTAAAGTACTTTTTATAAACTTTAAAAATGTTATTCAAACCTTTTCAATTAATAAAAAATAATAATACTTACTTAGTCATTTCTCAAAAGGTTTAGTCAATTAATAAGAAATGATTTTCATGTTTTAATTTATTAAAATTGGTTTAAAATGAATTAAATAAATTCTAATTAATCTAGTTTTATTAATAGTCCAATCACTTGTATTTCGAGTCAAATGTATCATTTTGGATCCCTTTCTCTAAAAAGATAAAATGCGTCATTTATTTAATTATTTTCTTAATCAAATATATTGTGAATTATTATATATTTTATGTTAAATCATTTTCCAATTTTTTTTATAAAGATATGTTCTTTAAGGGTCTTCTTCATTTAAATCCCTTTTTTTTTCCACTCATTTTAATTGTTCTAAGTTGAAGTATTTTTTTTTAATAAACTTTAAAAAATGTTAGTCAAAACCTTTTCAATTGATTAATAATAATAAAAATAAAAAATACTTATTTAAGTCATTTTCTCAAAAAGGTTAGACAATTA